TAATGACTTGCCTGGTCCTCACTAACAATGGCTACCTGTAAACTACTGAAAGTGCCACTGCTACGCAATACAGTCACATGACATTGCACTTTATGATAGTGTCACTTAATGATAAAGAGTTTCCAGCCTCACTTGTCATTGTAAGGAGAGATTACCTGTATGTAATATTTTTAATCAGCAAAGTAGTTGTAACAGCCCCCCCCCCCCACCCCGCCCAATATTCTTAAAATACAGTTTGGGTCTTTTTATGGATTTTTTTCAAGGTTACTGAACTTGGATTTCCAGTCAGTTTGAGAAACTTGAAAACTTTCAGAACATTTATTTTGCCATCTGGTGGTCTTAATGATACTTTGTGTAATATTCATTTTATTTTTTCATACCTTTTCTCAAGGGAGCTTATGGCAGAATACTTTTAGCTTTGAAACGTTTCTTTTAATATAATGTGATGTGTATACAGGAGATGGGTAGTCTCCTTGTTTACTTAACTTTATAGGTCAACATTGCTTTCATAATTTGTACTTAAAATACACTCTGGGGAAAATACATCTATCTGTATGCTGCTATAGTATGTTTCTCACAGGTTTTGCAAAAACAAAAACAACCCAAACCCATTGTTTAATGTTTTAACAACCCTCAAGAAAAACTCCAAGAGAAACTCAAAATATTCATAGCTTATTTAAGACATGATTAAAAAGCACTCAGTCTGTAATGTATTGAATCCATGAAGTCTGAATTTTTAGCTTAATAAAAATAACAATTGTATCAATGCTTTAATCACACCAAACTGTTTTTTGATCATTGTTAAGTTTTTTGAAACCAGCTGGGTGATTTTGGGCCAGTCACTCTCTCTCAACCCAACTCACCTCACAGAGTTGTTGTTGTGGGGAAAATAGGAGGAAAGAGTTATTAGGTTTGTTTGGCACCTTGATTTATTTTGTAATAATAATAATAGGATTTAAATAAAGTAAATGAATACATCTATTCCATAGGAATATTTTTACATCTTTTAATAATGGTGTCTTATTCTGAAGGCTAGTAATCTCCATATGGAAAAACATCTGGAATCTGGTGCCCCAGGAAGACAAGAAGTCAGAGGCAGAACTTCAAGAAGGACAAAGGAGGCACCCATTAAATATCGGAAGAATTCGCCACCAGTGCAAAAGAGAAGGAGAAAACCGAAACCCAAACAAGAAACGGCCAACAAAACCCAGAATCAAGAGGAGGAATTTCCATGTAAAAAATGTGGCAGGTAAACTTGGGAAGATTTGGAGATGAAGAAAATTTCTGACATACTTTCTTCTGTCCAAAGGAAAAATGAATATGGAATTGAAGAATATTTGCTAAGTCTAAGATAGTATGCCTCAATCTTGGTAGCTTAAAGATGTGTGGACCTCAGCTCCAACATGTTAGCTGGGGATTTCTGGGAGATAAAATCCACAGATTTTAAAGTTACTAAGGTTGAAAAACACTGATCTTAAGGCAAATGCTATGCTCTAGGCATTTTGGATTAAACATTCTACATTTCCTTGCTAAGTGGAACTGATGAGAATCAAAGTCCACAGTATTTAGAAGCCACCAAGTTGCCTAATTTGCATATGTGTGAGGTAAAAGGGTTTTGTTTTTTAAATTGCTCACACAATTACATTTTTCCAGCTATGAATTGTTAGGATATGATTTAATTTCTGTCCAGTCCCCCTGCAAAAATGCTGTCTTCTACTTTGGATGGCTTTCACATATGAACAGAATGATGTAGAGATGGAAAAATGCTCTAGGGATGTCTTGAAGGAATATTTCAACAGCTTCCTAGATAATTATCATCCTTTTCACTGCAATAGCAAGCACAGTTCAAGACTGAACAAGATTAAACATCAGTTGGCCTTGACTTTGCATATATCTGTTTCAATTTGTATGTCTCTCTCAGTTAACTGGAGCTAGACTAAAGAACATGTTGGTGACTGGAAGCATCATTAGACTGGAAAGTTAACTTCTTGTCTAGACTGATAAACCCAGTGAATTATGAACCTTATCAAGCATTTAACTGATGACATGAATAAATCATACCCAATTTATTTCTAATGTATGCTAGGAAAGATCTCTGATCCTCATAGGCTGTAAACTTGCAAGCAAAAAGGGTGTATTTTGTGGGTTTTTTCCTCCCAAAAGAAATATAGGTAGAATTGTGAGGACTACCCACTTGTTTTAATTTGCACATAGGTAGAAGTTACCTGATAATCTACTACTTGGATATTCAAAAGTCTTGTGTAAAATAGCTCATAAAAGGCTTCTATGGAAATCATAATAATCATGGGAAATCTAAAAGACCAGAAGTGGATGAAAGGAAGCACGTGTGAAATGCTTGGGTACTAAATAACCAGATGCAAATTATGTCAATTTATGTCAAATTTGTTCTATAAAGAACTTCAAAGATTTTCAAAAATTGTGATTGCAAGAAGATCTTTCACATATAATAATCATTGCAATTAGTTTCTTCAAGTGTCTAGAACTTGTGTGCACTTCATTTGTGCTCTTTTGTTAGCAGAGATTTTTTTCATCAGCATGAAAAGTACTAGGTGATGCCTCAGAATTAATACAAAACCTGAATTTAAGGCTTATGTCTGCCCAAATTAGTTGTTGGGTTCATGTTCTATACACGGAACCATGTTACAGAAAAATGATAATAGAGAAGTTTGGTAGTTTCCTCCATTGAACCCAAGGTCTAGCCAACACTGCTAAATAGAAGTCTTAAATCGTATTTTATTATTTCAGAGTGTGTTCTAGTTAGTGTTAGCCATTTTTCACATTTTCCTTTATTTGGATCTCTTTTGTGTTTTTTTATTATATTTATTTCCATTTTTAAATATCAGCATGGATCTTTCAAAGTTCTTCATATCACATAAAGTGCCAAAGGTCATTTTGAATTGGAGTGGGAAATCAATAAAGAAAAAGTAGGCACAGGTAGCATTGCAAAATTATAACATGAATTGCACTTGGGTGGATTTCACTCCGCACTGCTTAGAAGAATCAACCTTAAAAATTCTAGGTCTTGACTTTGGTTGATTCTGTAAAGTCCAAGATAATTCCTGGAAACTTTCCTAATTTGGCAGCTTCCAGATCTGTTGCAACTAAATGACCCAAATTCCCAGCTATTCTGGTCAACTGGCTGGGAATTTTGAGAGTTGCAATGCCACTATATCTAAAGAGTGCTACGTTAAAAGCCAATCCCTATGCAGCCATTTTAAGTAGAGTTTGCTTCTAAATATAAAACATTCCTTGTTGTAATATAATCATCCCTTCACACTTTAAAAGTTAAAAGTTGGCCAGTTGTGGATGATACACCGGAACCAGGTACTCAAAATTATTTGCATCTCAGTTGAGAAACCAGGAAGGTAAATACATGTTGTTTGAGATCAGGAATGACTTAAGGTGTGTACATGTATCTTGGCCAAGCCTAGTATGATAATTTATACCCTAGCCTAGATAATCTGTGACCCGTTGGGAAATTTCAGAGATATTTCCTTACCAGATTCTTTAATGCTCTCAACAATGGCAGAGCTTCTAATGTACTGCCTTCACTGGTAAAGTTGGAATACGTTTACTTTCTGCCTTGAAAGTAGCCCATGTTGAACTGTATAGCACAGTCAGACATCAGCACCGGAAATTTTTTATAACATTTTTTATCATAGACTGCTTTGTGATAATATTTGTATCATAAAATGTTTTTTAAAATTTCAATTCCATGGAAGTCATGGGTCCCGGATTTTAGGTGTACTCGGTAAGTTAGCCCATTTGAGGTATCTTGCTTGAAAAACGATTGCCCTATGGTAAACCGTTTCACCCAGTTGAATGTTACTGGAATGAGAGTTTTAGTACATAGATAATGGCTGTCCAGTGCTATGACATAAAGGTTGGTCACCATCATATTAAAGCTGTAGTGCTGTTTCCTTGCTTTGGGCTTAATGGGCGTATGCAGTCTGTTTTCCTTTTTTGTGCACTAACCAAGTTTTGAATCTTGCTCAAAGCAACCTATAAGCAGTACAAGTTTTTCTCAACTGCAGCTTCCAGCATCCGCTAACCTGACCAAGCTTCTTAGAGATGTTGGGAATTGCAGTTCAGCAACATCGAGAGGGGTAACCAGTTGCCTCCTCTTGTTCTAGCTGCTTTAAAAGCAGATAACAGGAATTTCCTGTTTAGCTTATCTGCAAGGTTGACTTTGAACACCTTAATAAGTCAGTGTTCAAACAAAGGAGGGTGGAAGGTGATATAAAAACCCAGGATTTAACTACTTTGCTGTGGATATCTGTGCCCTGCAGAATCTTCAACAAGGTGAAAAGTCGGAGCGCTCACATGAAAAGCCATGCCGAGCAGGAGAAAAAGGCCGCAGCTCTGAAACTGCGAGAGGAGGAGGCAGCAGCGGCAGCTGCCGCAGCGGCTGCAGCAGCATCAGCACACAGTAGAGCTCAGCGCGAAGAAAGTGGGAGCGGTCATGGGAGCAGCAGCGGCAGCAGTAGCTCGGATGAAGACGGCGATGTTTAGCCCAGGACCTGCAGAGGTTGAGGGCCTGGTCCTGACTGCTCCAGCCTTGCTTCTACTTCTTTTCCTTCTTGCTTGAACCGTACTGGTAGATTTTTAAAGGAAAAAAAAAAATAGTGACCACGAAAATCTCTATTTTTTTAAAAAAAACAACCAACCAAACATTTTATGGATTGTTTTATTTATAAATAACTTTCCGTATCTACTTACTGAGTGGAAGTCTGTTTTCCTTCAGCTCCTGAAATTGCCAGGAATCATGGCATAAGCCTTAAGTATCTTACCCATTGCTGAGAGAGAAATGTGTCGAATCCTCTGAATTATTGAATTACTTTGTGTGTAAATTCAAGGATCCATATAGCGTTCTTCATATACTTCTTTCTTTCAACTCCCAAGTTTGCTTTGTGGCTTGGAGCTATTCACGTTTTCTTTTGTCTCCTTCATACAAGAGTTTTTGTTTCTCCAGCTGGTAGATTATCCAGAGTCTGTGAGTAAACTCTCTAGGGTCAGTGAAGAGACTATTGCTTTTAAGATATGGCTCTTTTAAGAGTGGACATATTATAGTTAGTATTTGTTTGGAACTACCCCTATTATGTTGAGTTTTTAAAAAGTCACATAAAGTTGTTCATGTATGTCTCCAGAGTTGGCCAAAAGAATTAGTGATGAGTTCTGGATACTGCGCCTCCATAGTTCTGTGATAGAACAAACAACTTTGCTTGCAGAAGAATCCATATATGATTTGGGGTTAATGAGATTGAGGTAGATTTCTGCCCAAATTATTAAAGAGACACAGTTAGGAGAAGATGATGACTTTTATCCATGGCATTATTCTGCCGGGGGATAGCATTCATTCATCAGAGTCCATTTGCAATAACCATTCTTATTCCAAACCTGAGCATGTAAGTTGAAGAATCCTCTGGAGCAGATTTGAGGGGGAGGGCAGGAAAACAACTGGAAGTCCAGTATGAGTGAAAACAGCTGGCATACAGTTTGATACTGTAGCCCAATGGATTAGATAACTAGTGGTCCATCATGAAAGTGCATTCTTCTTTACCTGAATAGACTTGAGTGTAATTTTGCTTAATTGTCCATTTGAATGCTTCAACTGGTCTACAAAGGAATAGCTGCCAATTTTTTTTAACAGTTATGATATTTATTTTCCCCGCCCTTTTTTTTTATATATAAAAATGCATGGTTTGCAAAGGCAGATTGAGTATTCTCAAGATAATAGAAGTAAGGATCATGCATTGATTTATATGTATTTGTACCCTCAGGACTACCTCTTCTGCTGAGGTATTTGCCAACTAAATGACAGTTTCATTTAGATGTTCTGCACTGTACCCGGATCCAGATATCTAAAGTCAAGAACCTAAAGTCAAATGTGTGGAAAAAAACCAAAAGTATTTAGAAATGGTGCACCAAGCCAAATTTACCTAAGACTTTGTGCTTCTGCACGAAGCAGCAAGTATTTGCAATTATCTTAAGACATATAGGCAGTTATCTACACATTGCGACAGTAAAGAGCAACTCTCCGTCTGTTTGGTAGTAGAAGGAAAAGGAGAGTGCAGCAGAGGACAGAAAAATAATGCTTAGCAGGGGCACCTACTTGCTTATAACTGCTTGCTTATAACTTTCAAATTCTCTTGTCTGCAGAAAATACAGTGTTTATTCAGCTGTAAATGGTAAAGCCCTGAAAAATAAGTCTTCTAAAGCCACAAGGGTCATGAAAGCAAAGAACTGCATTCATAATCTACCGAAGAACCTTTATTGAATAAACCATGCTGGGATTGCTCTCCAGCAGGGTTTTTTTTTTCTTTTTTCCTAGAACCAGTTCAAGACTCAAGTTTTTAGAAGTTTACTTAGAAATTTATTGAAAAGCTAGAAGTTTTAAAATTGATTCCCAGCCATAGAACAAGATTGAAAGTCTTTTGGAGAAAGGCCAAATCAGAGCGATTGCAGCAAGCCATAGTTGGGTTGCCCAGACAACTAGATAGTAATTAATCCTACCAGCTGCTGGATGTATTCTGCCTGCTGAGTTACATGATTAGCGGAATTTTTTATGGAGCAACATTTACTATATAAGTTTACTAGTACAGCTACAAGATTACATATTTCAAATACCTCTATTCATAGCACAAAACTAAACCACTATCAGAACATGCAAAGAATTTGCATTCTGAATGTTGAAAATAAGTTTTAGCCTTCTTTCCTAATATGCCAAGCTAAGTTGCTGTTCATGTGGAGGAATGCTGAAATTGACTGTCTCTTACTTGCAATCTGAGGCAGAAGCAATCCCAGGAGCCGATCATGTGAACCTGTTGTTTGAAGAACAGAGCAGGTACTCTGCATGCAGGAGGTCTCTATTTGGATTCAAGATTATCCAGTAACAGAGCTAGGAAGCCAATCTCCTGAGTGTTAGAAGGGATGTTCTCAGGCCATTGTTGCTGCTTAGTACTCACTGAGCTAAGTAGACAAACAGCATAATGGATTATACAGAATTTTTTAAAATGGTCAAAATCTCATGATGCAGACACTTTAAACCAGTGGTTCTCAACCTGTGGGTCGGGACCCCATTTGGGGTCGATCGACCATTTCACGGGGGTCGCCAAGCAAGGCTGTCCGCCATTTTTTTTGTCCGCCTTTTTTTCCCCTTTTCCGGCGGGTGCCTTACCTCCCTTGGGCTGGGCCAGCTGGTGGTCGGCCTGCTCCGTCTCTGCCGCTTGCCAGCTACGCCTCGGCCGGCGCAGGGGGCAGAACCACACATGTGCGGCGCTCCCGGGCAGGGAAAGTCCTCGACTTACGACCAGTTGGGTAGTCCTCGACTTACGACCGGTTTAGTCCTCGACTTACGACCGGTTGGGGGTCGCGGCATTAAAAAGGTTGAGAACCACTGCTTTAAACCTTTTTCTCCCCATAACGTATGGATAATGCCAGTCTGCCTCTAAAGTGAGTTCTTCCAGTGTATTTAAAAAACAGCCTTCAATTAAAGGTAATTACTTTCTTTTTACCCTGCTTCAGAGCTACAATTGGAACTTCATTATTTTTGCACTGTGTCAATGATGTTCTTCCAGATCATAATTTTGCACAAATTTTAGCATTTTATATACAATATAATGAAGCAAAAGCAATGCAACCAGGTTTTTGACTGCATTTTCAAAAATAGCTGGTCTCAAATCATGTTTTTCTTTGCACTTAGACTGTGTGAATTCCAGCCCAAACAGGAAAAATATCTTGATTAAATAATTAACTTGAGATCTTGAGAAAGGCAACATTTGCTTCTCCAACTGTTCAGAAAGGAAGAGCATTGCTGCCTTGAAATTCAGCATTAAATTTAATCAATGTCATATGTTAAGAGAGAATATATATATTTTTGGAATGATCAAAGTATCCAAATGGTATTTTTTTAGGGAAAAAAAGGGATGTGTATTGAACAAATTACAAAAGTATTTTGTTCCTGGATGGAACATGTTCTTCCCAAATATAATTGCTACAATCCAGCACAGATGCACTTTGCGATTCATTGTGTGGCATTTTATAGCTATTAAAGACTTATAAATAGGATTCCTAAAATTGTATTTATATCACATCAGTAATAATGCATCAGTGAACCTACCTATCAACTAATTTTTGCAATAGATAATATTCATGGGAAGTACATGTGGGAATAACTTTGGATGCACTTTGAAAGGCACAATCCAGTAGTTTATCATGACTATCCAGTTCACATAAATGGGAATTACGGTAATTCATTTTTCATACTATATCATAAGATAAAAAATGGTTAATTTGCTTCTTTAGGCCACAGTGAAATTGACTTTTCTATACTGCCGCTTTTTCCTTCTTTCATATAGACTAGAGCATATATTTGGACAGGGAAGGAATGCAGTTTTTGCATGTATGCAAATATAAGCAAGCAGTCTGATGGGGAGTTAAGAGATAAAAGTTGAGAAATGCTGCCTTCTTCCTCCTTTGTGAAGCTGGGCAGAAGAAGCGGTGATGGTCTAGAACAGGGGTGTCAAACTGCTGGCCCGCGGGCCGGACGCGTCATCCGGAAGCACACCCACCCCATTGCCGGCAATGGCAAAACTGTCCCGATACGTTGCACAACGTCACCGAGTTTGACATGTCTGGTCTAGAATATGATGTTCTGAAATATTAGCTTACAGCTGATGGGCGGGAAGGTCACATCCTGACCTGAGATGGATTTCATTGGTCATGGCACTATGCTGCAGATTTGTGCATATATATATATAAATACACAAATCACAATCACATATGTGATTTCCAGGTACATACTTAAACTAAAGGTGTGTCTGAATTGAAGGCTCGTTATAGAACCAGCTTAGTTCAGCAGGGTAGACAGTGTCATGTTAATTGCTGGGTGAAATATACTAATTTAATCGATCTCATAATAGTCCTGATATTGGAGCTCTTTTTCTTCTTCCTGAGTATTTTGTAGCCCAAATGTATTTTCCACTTTTTTTCTACTAAAGTACACTCTTACTAACCTGGAATATCCCATTTCTGATTATTAGCCAGTTCATAAAACTCTTTCGTTTTCTTATACCAAGGTAACTTTAGGTGAGAGAACCTTTATAAATCCACAGATTTTCATTTCACACAATTTTACAAGTCCATTCTTCCTCAGATATTTTCACATTAATAAACTTCCCTGTTATGCAGAGATCTTTTTCTCACTAAAGATGGTAGATGGATTCACACATTGCATTAAAATCATAATTGCTTTGGTTAGGGAGTTGGGTGGCATACACATTTAATAAATAAAATTAATATTTATTTTAAATATAATTGTTTAAACATAACAAGTTAAAATTAGTCTTGTAAATGAGCAAAGTTATGGCTTATTCATCTGATTCTTGATTTATTTCCATTTAAATATTTCTTGTCCTATAACTTCATGAAATGTTTAAACGATACACAAATAAACCAGAGACGTGTCAGGAAATCACAAGTAAACCATGCACGATTATTTATGCATCACAGTTCCTAGGTTGCTACTTGTAAGTAAACAATCATATCATAATTTTAATGTGATGTGTGAGGTCAGCAG